AGTACGGTCTGAGTTTCCGAGCTGCGGTCACCAAGGCGAAGGCAAGTTTCTCCATCGGCGGGTATCTCAGCTCGGCGTCGTGGAGAGCCTTGCTCACGTAGTAGATCGGGAACTGGCCCGAGTCGTCTTCCCGAATCAGGGCGGCACTCACGGCCACCCCGGAAATCCCCAGGTACAAATAGAGCATTTCACCTGGGCGCGGCTTTTGCATCGTCGGAGCCTGGCCAAGGGTTTCCTTAATGGCTTCCAACGCCTTTTGGCAGGCCGGCGTCCACTCGAACTTGTGATTTTTCTTGATGGCGTCGAAGAAAGGTTTGCAGCGATCGGTGGACTTTGAAATGAATCGGCTTAAAGCGGCGAGTTTGCCAGTCAGGCTCTGGACTCCTTTGATTGACGTCGGCGGTCGAAGGTCTTGCACTGCTTTGATCTTCTCGGGGTTTGCGTCGATGCCGCGCTGGCTGACTATGTACCCTAAGAACTTTCCTGACCCGACACCGAAGGTACACTTTTTGGGATTTAACTTCATGGAATAATCACGCAAAATGGAAAACATTTTATTAAGATCATTTACATGATTGGATGCGTACACAGACTTAACTAACATGTCATCTACATACACTTCCATACATTCACCTATCAAGCTAGCAAACATCTTATTAACTAGGCGTTGATAGGTGGCCCCGGCGTTCTTCAGCCCGAACGGCATCATGGTGTAGCAGTAGAGCCCACGTGCCGAGTAGAAGGAAGTATGTTCCTCGTCGTCCGGATGCATGGGAATTTGATTGTAGCCGGAGTACGCATCCATGAAGCTCATCAGCTCGTGGCCTGATGTAGCGTCGACCATGTAGTCGATGTGAGGGAGGGGATAGCTGTCTTTGGGGCACGCCTTGTTCAGGTCGGAGAAATCAATGCACAACCGCCATGCCCCGTTGCTCTTCTTCACAAGTACCGGGTTGGCCACCCAGGTCGGGTACCGGACTTCGCGTATGTACTCGTTGTCCTTGAGCTTGGTCACCTCCTCTTCCAGGGCTTGCTGCCGGTCGGGGCCGAGCTTCCTCCGCTTTTGCACGACCGGCTTGACTGTGGGGTCGACCTGCAGCCGATGGCAGGCGACCTGCGGGTCGATGCCGATCATGTCCTCATGGGTCCACGCAAAGACGTCTGCGTTTTTCCGGAGAAACTCGGTCAGTTCGGCCTTCATTGGCCCCGGCAGCTTGCTTCCAATCCGGAGTTGTTTCTGGCAGGTCTCTTCGTCGATGAAAATGACTTCGACTTCATCCATCGGCTCGGCCCTCTTCGTTCCCCGTTTCTCCTCGTATTGTGTCCGAGGGTCGAGCTCGTCTTCCTCCGTGATCGGCCTTTTGCCAGCCCTTCTCCCTCTGTCCCGGTCGAGGTCGTCTTCGGCTCCAGCCTCGACGGGATCCGTCACCTCGGCGCCCGGGGCCGGGTTGTCTGCTTCAGCGTTGGGCTCCGCGGCTGTCGGGTCGGTACATGTTGATGTCAGGGGATGCGAACCTGTCTGGTTTCCCAGCATGCGGTTGCCCCCGTCACCATCGTGTGCCGACTCGGTGTCTGCCACCCCGGCGTTTTCCCGCAGGTCCGCCACGTTTATTTCGGTGCGCGGGATGGTCAGGATGCATTCCCGCGCTTCCCTTTGGTCTCCTCGGTGCGTCCCCTCTCCGTCGGGAGTTGGGAATTTGAGAGAGTAATGGAAGATGGAGACGGCAGCCTTCAGTTTGTAGAGCGCCGTCCTGCCCAGTATGGCGTTGTACTCACTTGGGCAGTCCACGATTTTGAAGGTTTCCAAGATCGTCTTCGTGGGCTGCCCCCTTTCTCCGAACCTGACCGGAAGCGTGACCTGACCAACCGGGGCGATGGTCTGACCATTGAAGCCCTGGATCCGCTCCCGGCAGGGTTGTACCTCCTTCCTATCGATACCCATTTTCTTGAAGGTCTCGTAGTAGAGGATGCTGGCGTAGGCCCCGGTGTCGACCATGATGCGATGAATCTTAATCGCCATGATCGGCGCCGTGATCACCAGGGCGTCGGAGTGGGGATGGTCGAACAGGAAAGCGTCTTCGTCGTTGAAGGTGATGGTGTTTGGGGTCGGCTCTGGTGCCGGCCTGCTGTGGGCGTGCATCACCCTTTGCCCGGCATGGTAGGCCTGTCGGGCGTAGGCCTTGGTCTGTCTCCGGGAGAGGAGGGATTCGCCCCGGCTGGTGTTGACGCGCCGAGATGGGTAGTTGGCTGGGTCGGCCCCGGTGCGTGAGGACCGGTCTCTTTTTCTGCCCCTGGAGGTGCCGGCCTCATCTTGGTGGGTGGGGCAGAAGGTCATGATTTCGTGTGGACCGCCCTGCTGCGGTTTCTTTCTCCGAGGATTTACATCGGCATCCTCGTCACTGTCGGGGTTTTCCTCAAAACGCCCCCCTTTCTTTCTCTTGTCTCCAGAGTGGGTGAATTTCCGGAGTTGGGGGTCATCGATCAACTTCAAAAGTGCCGAGATCAGATTCCGACACTGATCGGTATTATGCCCGTGCGCCTTGTGGTAGGTGCAGTAGCGGGTCTTGTCTACTTTGTCCTTGTCGGTGAACATCGGTTTGGGGTCTGGTAACAACCCCTTGGCCTTGATTTCCTCGTAGATTGCCGCGGCACCCACCGAGAAGACGCCCTGATAGCTTTCTCTCAGCTCTTCGGCCCTCTGCCTCCGCTGAGCTCGGATCTCAGAAAAGGACTTGCTTGGTTTTCCCGATTTTTCCTCCTTTGTTTTCGCCTTTGCTGGTGCCGGGGCCGGTGCGGCGTCGAAGGTCGGGATGGATGATGATTCCTCCGCCATGATGTATTCCTGGGCGCGGGTGAGGAACTCTTGGTAGGTGGTCGGCTTGTTCTGGCACAGGGACCACCTGAACAGCGTTTTTGGTTTGAGGCCGCCCTGGGCCGTGATGAGCAGGGCGTCGGGGTGACATCGTTCCATATTCTGGACCCGGTCATTGAATCGGGCGATGTAGTCCTTCAAACTCTCATTCTCGCCCTGTACAATGTTGGAGATTGATTCTTTGGGGGCGAGATTGATCTGCGATCCGATAAAGTGGGATCGGAACGTCGACCCGAGCTGCGCCCAGGTCGAAATGGAGCGGGGGTATAGGGAATGGTACCACCTCTGCGCCTTGGGTCCCAGCGTTAGGGAGAACATGCGGCAGCGTAGGGCGTCTGAGGCACCGTGTAGGTCCATCCACGAGGTGTAGAGGCCGAGTTGCGAGTCGGGATCCGAGCTCCCGTCATAGAGGCCGAGCTGAGGTATTTGTATTCCCTTCGGGACGGCTTCTTGCAGGATATCGAGGGAGAGGGGCGAGGCGTTGTCCGCGACCCGAGGAGTCGGTCGCGTACGGATTTGTTGGTGAGCCGGGAGTGAGAACTCACTCCCGGTGGGCTGCCGACCAAGGGGTTAATTCTTGAATAAGAGTTAATAAGATTTAACTCAAATTACAAAGTGTTGTAAACCCACTACTAGTATTAATAGTGAACCTAAAAGGTCACACTAATTATGAACAAAGGTAAAGATTGTATTTCTAATGGTTAGAATTAATTGATAAATATCTAATTTGATTAGATGTCAATTAAAGGAATATATTAATCAATAAGATTGATTAATTACATTTTGGATATTACTTTAGTAATTAAAGTAATTACTAAATTAATAAAGTTGAATTTTAAAATAGGATTTTAAATTTCAAATCCAAAATAATAATAATATGATTATTATAAGATTGGGAAAATGATATAATAATAAAGTCTTGAGAAAGATTCTCAAGATTTATTATCCAATTATTATTTATATCTTTAAATATGATTTAAGGATTAAAATAAGAAATATGATTATAATAAAATGGTTGTTAATGGTTGTTTGAACTACTTAACATATCTTATTATTTTCAAAGTCAATGGTTAGTAAATACTATTTAAATAAAATTTGATTTTATTTAAATATTACTAAATATTGATTATTTTATGCTAAAATGTTTAGTATAAATAGATGCAAAATGTTTGCAAAGATTAGAAGTGATTTTGTGAGAAAATCAAAGAGAGAAGAAAGTGTTCTTCATATATTTCAAGAAAGTGTTCTTGATAATTCCCAAATTATATCTATATATATATTCCTATACGAGAAAACCGAGACATTCCTACTAGCGAAGGAAGGTAGTCGGAACCGGGATTCATAGGGTGGATACGATTAAAGGGAAAACACTTGGATTCCTAAAGCGAGTAACCTCAAGCCGTTGAAGTTACAACCGGGAACCGATTCCCACAATCCACATCTTTGTTGAAGGAGTTCAAGACACTCGGTAAATATTTCGTATTAGTATTTACTTTATTATAACAAATCAAAATTTGTATGTGATGCATGTTTTAAAGATGACGATCAGTTAATTCGCAATTAGTATGTACGGGTGTTGTATTTATTTGATAAATACTTACTTTGAAAAATTTTAAATTCCGCTGCTTAAAGCCCGTACGGTACTAGCGAACCCAACACCCTCGTGACGAGATTGTAGATTAGAATCTCCTTCCCGCCCATATCAACACAAAGGACCAACGCCTCCAAGTACTTAACCCACCCGACCGGAATTATACCCACACTATTGCATCGTGTAGATTCGAATTCGCTCTTGTGACCCTCCAACGAAAACTCTCCCGACTTTCTCCACTCGAACGTTTCCCGACACATCTCCCAAACTTCCCACAAGAGCTCCCCACACTCGCGCAATAACGATAAACACCTTCCGGTCGACAAATAAGTATTCTTAACAAAGCCCCCTCTCGTGTAGGGGGGCCCGGAGCTCTCCGTGAAGGCCTCCGTCTCCAAATTCAAAGTCAATACTTTGTCCTCATTCAAGCTCCAATGCATAAAACCTTCGGTAATAAAAACCGCGCCAAGTTTCGGCAACTTATGCTCATCAAACTCCAAGTTTCGTAGTTTTGTAGTAATTGGGAGCAAAATATACAACCACTTTGCAATCCATGGATTCGGGAACGTGCGCCACTCCCCACAACTGCATTCGGGGATATACACAACGGTTGACGAGTGGGGGGAGATTAAGCATTTGTCCGGTCGAGCGATGAGAGAGGCATACCTCCTTAAAAGGCTTTCCCGTGGAAACAGCTAAGCGAAGCTCCGAACAATCGGCTGCGGCAGCGCTCGTGAAATGGGGGCTCGTCTCAGATATCTCGACCCGCCCGTCTCGAACGCCCATCGAGAAAGCGACACTGCAAATTTTGAAGAGAAGGTCGTAAGTGTAGCTCGACAACTCGTCACGGTGCCACCCCTCGGAAAATGGGGGGTTTAGCAAGTGCCAACCATCGGAAATCGAGTCGACTAGCAAGAATTCGTTCGACGACATGACTTCGAGTTCCTTTTTAGGACATGCATATATATCAAAACAACAAAGTAAGTTTGTGATCATATAGAGATAATAAGTTCCTTTTTAATTAGGACATGCATATATATCAAAACAACAAAGTAAAGTTTGTGATCATATAGAGATAATAAGTTCCCTTCTAGGACATGCATATATATAAAAACAAAGTTAAGTGTGTGATCATATAGAGATAATAAGTTCCCTTTTAGGACATGCACATATATATCAAAACAACAAAGTTTGTGATCATGTAGAGATAATAAGTTTCATTTTAGGACATGCATATATATAATATATATCAAAACAACTAAGTAAGTTTGTGATCATGTAGAGATAATTGTTCAAATCAAACACTTTTCACATAATTGAAACTAAATTATGTCTTGAGGTTTTGGACAATAACGTGTGTTATAAGGTTACCTTTTGGGACATGCACATCAAAACAACAAAGTACGTTAGTGATCATCATATATAGAGATAAGTATTCCAATCAAACACTTTTTTAAGCAATTGAAACTAAATTAATTATGTCAACTTTTTGGATTTGGGACATGTAAATATATGAAAACAACAACGCACGTTTCATATATAGATAAATGTTCCAATCAAACTCTTTTTACATAACTGTCTAACTAAATTCGATGCTTAGGTAAAATAATTGAAACGTAATGACCTGAGTTGGGTGGTCGTCCTCCGGCGGCGGTGGCGGCGAGGGGGATATGGGTAGCACGGCGGCTGATTTACTTGGAGAGTAGGGAAAGTCAAATATATATGCATATACATTATCTACACGTTAAAAAGGAGACGTAGGGTTAAACGGAAAGAGCCCAGGCCCACACAAGAAGCTCAATATAATATATATATATATTAAAATAAATAAATAAATAATAATAATTTCTACTTATATTCAATTGAGACTTTTTAAACTTTTTTGTTTATCAATCTCTAAAGTCTCAAGATATTTAATTAAACTTTTCTGACAGTCTCTATAAGTCACTCGGTTATTCAAAATAGAAAAATTTTATGAGACTTTTAAAATTGTAAAATATTTTAGAGGTTTTTGTAACAAAATTATTAGTAAAAAGTCCTAACATAAATCTCATCAAATTGGTGAGATTTTGTTGGACTTATACGACTCTTCATACTCTATTTTCTCTATATTGTTATAATGCACACGACTTTATATCTCATATCACTTTTATACTATGTTACTTTACTCATTATTTTGATAGCTTGTATAATTTTTTTTCACGAATATATAACGTGGCTTTTTTTTTTATTTATTTTCTATTATGAGTATTTTATGTTTTATATATTTTTATTCTCCCATTTTGCTTGTGGATTTAACTTTTCAAAGGTTAAATGTCTGTATAGTTTGCACTTTAAAGTATTTATTTAATTTGCTAAGAGTTTAGTTGTTGATATAAAATTATTCTGATTATTGTTCATAACTTAAGAAGATATATACAATTATTGTTATCAATGTTTATGTCTTGTAAAAATATTTTTTTTAACATTGCAGGGGAGATGAACAACAAACGAATATTAACTATGCTGAGTTGGACTCGTTGTGCTCGTTTAATAAACGGATACAAAACCCTGCTCGTTGTGCTCGTTTAACAAATGAATATAAAGTCCGAGCGTTCAACTCGGTCGGATCGGCTTTCTCGTTTTACTAACCCAAAACTATAAACAAGTTTTTCGTGAAAAACTCAGTTCAAATAACAATTCAAGAGTTTATTCATAATTTTTAGATGAAAATCCTACTTGTCAAAATTAACACAAAACAATATTCATCAATCCACTTTGAAGCATGAAAATTTACCAATAAATGTAGTGAATTTTGTGCAAAAAAACTACAATTTGTTCCTCCTCAAATTCAATAATCTCTTGGAGGTAGAAACAGAAATCAAGTATCCCACCCCAAAACACACAGCCCAAATCCCCACCTCCACGGCCCACCGCACACCATCCTCCATCTCCTCCTCCACCTCCTCCTCCTCTTCCTCCGCCACACCACCACCGCACTCACTGCACCAGCACTTATAGTCCCCTTCCCCCACCTCCGGAATCTCCTCCAGCTCCCCCCCGGCCACCCTCCTCCTCCGCTTCCTCACCATCTCCACCTTCACCGGCCGCCCCTCCGCCTCCACCTGTTGGTATATGTGTCCTAGAGACAATCATTTTAAGGACATATATACATGATCACATTAATAATTATATTGGATTATAATTATGGTATTGCAATTAATTAAATAATTGTTTGATTGTTTGCAATTTATTAATTAATTGCTCCCTTGAGTTAATACTGTCATTAACAGAGTGAGATGTTAATTGATAAAGTATAACTCTCAAATCGCCTCAATCGATGATCATTAAGAAAGGGATATTAATGATACGCGATAGATTGACATGTGGTCTGCATCACATTCTTAGAGAATATAGTATGTCTCACTACTATGAATAATTGTTATTCGTGATGGACACATGGATACTTTGGAGAGTATTGGCATACCCTACCGATAAACCATTTGTTTATGTGTCTATGGGAGTATCGGTGTGTGGAATGGTGTAATAGTCCTTTGACTTGAGGTCAATACGCAATTCATGTATAGAGTGATTTACTTAGACCTAGTCCAACGCTTACGCCCTTATGGGTAGATACGGGCTTGTGTTGGGTAGATCACGATATACATGGAATTGGTAGTTGAGCCAAGATAGGATTCATTCCTCGAATATAGTTTCGAGAGAACACTCGTTTTCTCTATACTGGGTTGATAAAGTCATTGGCCAATGCACGTGATTATATTTGAAATGGTGTTCAAATATAATTGATAAAATCAACCAGTGAGATGAGATAAAATGATTAAGCTGTTTGGATAGACACATGTTCAAATCCTAAGCTTAATCGAGTGGTCGTGAATGAAGGGACCGTATCACTATTGAATTCTACACCAAAGGTTTGTTTGCTTTGTCTATGTAAACGTACTTCATATTTTGAGTTCGTCCTTCGACGCAGTCTAGGAGTTTCGTGAGGATCATAAATCGGATTTATGTCAATATATGAAGGCCTATAGGGTCACACAATATGCAATCCATTTTCCGTCTAAGAGTGAATCGAGAGTGTTAAATATTCAATTAGATTGGAATATTTAATTTTAATAATTAGATTATTTTCTATTCGATAGAAAATATATAATTAAGTTTTAATTGGACTTAGACTTAATTATATCATTAATTGGATTAGGTCCAATTGCCTATTGGGCTATAGGTTATCCTAAAGCCCATATAATTAGGTTTAGCCTAATTATAAATAGGCGGTTATCTCATATCAGATGTAGGAGATCAGATAATTGAGATACGCCGTAAAAACACAAAAACCTCTCTTTGCTTTCTGATTGAGGATTCCTAGCGTCTTCACAGGAAAGGATTCACTGCGTTGGATCTGCATCGGGATCTGGATTGCGTGGATACCATAGTTGAAGGCAAAGCTTAAACTGTAAGTTCTCGCAGATCTATGATCAAATCGAATAGCTATAGCCGGATCTTCATTGTTGGTAAGAAAATTTTAAAATTCCGCTGCGTGTGCGATTGATTCGTACGAACGAAATCCAACAGTGGTATCAGAGCATCGGGTCGGTGTTCATAGCTATTCGATTTTAAATTGGATTTACATGGATCAAAATATGTGCTAATCATGTTAAGATAATTAATTTTGAATTAATTTTCATTAAGTTCTTGGTTCTGTTTTCTACGGACCTGTTCATGAATATTTGGAACTGATCGTAAAATTCTGGGAATTGTTGTTCACCATATCTGGGATTTGGAATGGTCTGCTGCCGAACAAATTAATCAATTTGGAATTGAGTTTATTTGTTATGTTCGTATTGCACGTTGAGAATTGCAAAATCTGAAAAAACAATTTGGAATTGTTTTGTTTCGTTCGATCTGAATCTGGGATTTGCCGTTTTTTCGTTCGAACTGCACACGGTTCTTGGAATTGGTGTGTGCAGTGCCTATTGGTTTAATGTTAATTAAACTAAAATTAAGAAAGATAATTTAGAATTATTTTCTCTGTTTGTAATTGTACGCACAAATCTGGGATTTGCTTGCACTCTCACCCGCGTGAACTCTCTCCCGTCTCCATCTACCGCCGTCGACATCACGCCGTTGTAGACGATCTCACCACAGAGGCTGGCCGCTGGGAATCACTGAAATCGCGCTGCCGCTTGGCGGCTCCCATCGCGCTGCCAACCGCCGGTTGCTGCGCGGCCCTCGTCGCATGAACCGTGCTCCTCGGTGGACGCTCGTTCTTGGAAGCGAGCAGCCGTTGAACGCAGGGACCTTAGATGTCGGAAACCCGAGCTTCGAGCTCGTCCGCCATTAATGGCGGACTCAATAAAAAAAAAAAAAAAATTGCGGTTTGACCGCCTGGGAGATTTCCGGCGAGTGGGTGCCGGCCGTTGGCGGCGGGAATTGACGGAGATGACGAGCAGCTGCCGTTGCGCGGTGGGGAGCGGGTGGGCTGGCGTGAAATAGGGTTTTGAAGTTGCAGGGACCATGTTCGAAAATTTGACAAATGTTAGGGGTTGCTTTTCAATTTCAGAAATTTTATTTGTTGCAGTTTGACCCATAGGTTCAATCTGCAAATTTGAAATTGGATGGGGCAAATCTGCGATTTTTAAAAGGGTTTAAAAACTCCAATTTGGTCCTTGGGGCCTGTGTGTAATTTCTGAAATTGGCCTAGGGCCTGTTTGGCTTCAGATTTTTAAAAAAAAATCTTAAATAATGGTTATTTTTGCTTGTTTCAAATTTCTGAAAAAATCCTTAAAATTGAAATTAGCCCTTGGGGTATATTTCAAACTAAAAACTATTGTCAAATGACTATTAAATATTTTTGAAATATTTAATAAACGAACAAAACGAAGCTTCGGGCTTGTTTAGCAAATCAAAAAAAAATTAGAAATTTTGTTGAATACTTTAGCACTATATTTTGATCCATGAATTTGCTTGACTTATGTATTTTGAATACATAATTGTTATGTGTGTTTAGAACCACATAAATGCATAAATAATTAGATTATTTATTACTTGTATGTATTTTGAATACATTATTATTATGTGTGTTTAGAACCACATAATTGCATGAGTAATTATGTTATTTGCTTGTATGTATTTTGAATACATCCATTAGTAATCAAATTACTTACTTATATGTATTTTGAATACGTATTGTTTTATGTGTTTGGAATATTATAAATGCATGATAATTGGATTATTTGCTCCTATTTGTCTAATTGAAATAAATTAAATAGTTTATTTATTTTAGTTAGCGTCCGCGATTATATTGTCTGGGTAGGCGGCGCCCAGTATTTGTCGGACCGCGTGATATACTGTCTGGGTAGGCGGCGCCCAGTATTTGTCGGACCGCGTTATATTATGCTCGGGTAGGCGGCGCCCGATATGTGTTATTTGTTGGATCTTGTTTGAAGATTGGATACTTATACCCCGTTAAAATGTTCCCCTAATAAAATATAAGTCTCATCTTGGATGCATGACGTCACCCATCACAATTGAATGAGTGCAAAAACCTCTTCGTCCAAAAGTATTTACACCCTAGTGTTTGCTTAGGTCTACGAGGCTCAGACTCATTCATAGATACATATGTTTGTGATCGTGTGATGGTTTTGACTTACTTAGCTAATTCTTATCGCCCTAGCGTCGGAATGATCTAAGGACGTCGATCAAATTTGATTTGATCAACCAAGAGTTGTAATTGTTTACAATTGGTTTAGAGACCTACTACTACATCTATTATAGTGATCAGCCCTAGCTGGGACTATAATATGATGGATGTGGATCTTGGCTTACTATGACTATATTTGATATGAGTCCGTACTCTTCTGATGGGGTCGTAGAGTATGTGAAAATAGTGGGAGCTAAATTAATTAAAAGCCATATTAATTTAGTTAACAAATGTGATCAAGTTGTTTTATATTCCTGTTCTATATGTTTCTCTGGGTTGAATGGTATTTTGAATTTATCATTGAAATGTTTGATGGAAATGAATAAGTTGACTAGACTGAATTATTTGGATTGGCTGCATCTTTTGTGGTTGTTGTTGTGGTAAAACGAGTTAAGTATGTGTTCGACACAAAGGTGCCCATCGTACCTAATAAGATTTTTGGGTACTATGCGTTTGACCATGATACCCATAAGACGTATTAGGATGATAAAGTTTCAGTGTAATGTGTCGTGTTGTTCTCTATGTCAACTAGGTTGAAGAGACAATGTGATAGGATGTATCCTAATGAATGTGAGAGCATTTAAAGAGACTTTATGACCTCAGTCTCAAACCTTGGAGTTTGAACTGTTGGGAAATCTCTTCAAATGCAGGCTACATGATCGGATAAAGTCTTTATGCATGTTGTGGAGATGATTGGACTGATTGGGAGTCTGACTTTGGTTGGAATGAAACTCCAAAATCATGTCGCTGCGAATATCATCTTATAGTCGCTCCAATTTCATATTTTAACTTCATTGTGAATTTTTATATGAAATGATATGAGGACTACGATGCCTTAGTTGCACATGCTCAAGACTTACAATTCATTCACTCTTAGGAAAAGTTGTACTCATAGTGAGTTCTTCTGCTAAATCTTACCAAGGGTAAGAGTGAGTAGAAAATAGGTTGAAATTGTTTCTAGACCTACAACCTAGAAGCCTAATGAAATGATGAACAAAAGCTGAAATTGTTCAATGATATATGTATTTTCTGCAAAGAAAATGACGTTGGAAGAAAGATTGTGTGTGTTTCAAGGCACAGGGTGTTGCGAACACTGCATAGAATTTGTTTGTTTAAACAAAAGTTTAAAGTAATACGAAAATCCTCATTTTTTATGGCATTGTTGAATTGGTCATATTAATGAGACATTATTATCAAGGTTAAGTAAATTAGATTACTTAACATCACGTGACTTTGAGTTACATGAAATCTATGTATTTTTGTCTTAAATGAAATGATGACCAAT